CCATTACATAGGATTTCAATTTCAATTCAGTTCCAAATTCATCAATTCTGTATACCAAATATAATGGACCCTTAGTGTTTAAATAGTACTCCTAAAATCTAAGAAACATTAAAATTAAACTAAGAAGTAAACGTAAATATTAGATCAGTGTATATATAACGTGTTCATAAACTCCGTATCGATCATTTAGTTTATAAGGATTTAATTATTTTATTGATTTGTTAAATGTCCATTTAGTACAAATTTGATTTAGTTTTAAAATGTACGATTCTAAATCTTGCATTATTTTACCCAAATTATAAGACAAATTTAATTGAAAATAAATTTATTTTGGGGCAGAAATATTAAATAAAAAAACAAACAAGCTGGTTTGATTTTTTAAAAAAGTATACTCAATACTTTTTTGGAGTCAACCACAACCAATTTTTTATCTCTAAATAAATAAAAGTTATATGGTATATATAAATTAGATAACACAGTATCTTTGAAAAATTTACTTCATACGGAGTACAAGATAAATTTTAAAAAAAAGACTAAAGTAGGAGTAAAGTATTGAAAATATACCAAACTATGAGTTTCATATTTTTAAAATGTATTTACAGTACCAATCATGAACATATACATTACAAAAAATTATTGTGAAATATCTCTATACAGTGTCACATTATCACGGTACGAACTCCTATTTTGGAGATAAAAACATTAACTCTCTATTTTAATATTTTTTTATGTTTTACTCCTATTTAGTGTGACTTCTAATAAATTTATTAAAATTATTTTCGTACCAATATTTAATACTCCGTATTAATTTTATTTTATCTATGGTGAAAGATTCTCAATTTTAAAGGTAACAAGTTAAAACTGCACAACATTTCGAGCCCGAATTAGGGTTTGATAATTATCTGACTAAAACTGTACTTAATTAATGAATGCCATTAAAAATTTATTAAATTAATAAAACCATAGCTAGGGTTTGCACAGTACCGTAGTTCCTTCCGGGCAATTATTCTTGCCGGAGCTCTTGCACGCCCACAACTTCCCGCCTCTACCATCTAGGGTTCCGCCGGCGACGGTGACGCCGGTGACGGTGAAGAACTGGATCCAACTCTGGTTACTTGCGATCGCGTGGTAGTCGGCGGGGGCCGCAAGAACGGCGCCGTCCATTCTGAACGTCACGGCGCCGTTCTTGCAGTGTCCCCCGTCGAAGACCACGCTCCCCAGCACGTACCTCCCCGGCGGCACGTACACGTCGGCGCCGCCGCCGGAGTGGGCGCATGCCGCCGCCCAGGCGGCCAGAAACGCCTCCGACGAGTCCGTCTCGCCGCCGGCCACCGCGCCGTAGGACTGCACGTTGAAGGTGCTACTATGGCAGCATGTTGTTATGGTGCAAAGTAGCAAAAGAAGTGAGAAAATGTGAATTATTTTCATGGCTTTGGATTGGGAAGAGAGAAGAAATAGCTTAGCTAGGGTTTTGTAGTTTGATGTATAATGGATCACGAAAGGGATTAGATTATATATATATATATATATATATAGGGAATAAAATGATAAGGGCAGTTATAGACTTTTAGAAGAATAAGGAAATGTTGACTAAATTACAGTTTTTTTTAATCATCAAAATAAAGATGTTTCGTTATGAAACAAGAATTTCGCCATTTCGGATTTGTAATGATTCTTATTAGGGAGTTTTATTTTTTAACATAGTAAGAATTTCGCCACTATAGAATGATTTAATTCGGGAAACTATATATCAATCTTCCCATTATCTTGAGAGATTAATAGTTAGATGAAAAGTTTATGACTTCCAAGAAATGAATAAGGGTCTCATTTGAGAACATTGTTTGCGATGAGTACTATTTTTTCGATAATTTTTTTTTATACTCACTACAATGGATTAACTTCGAAATGTTAACAAATCATTACTAAGGTATAGTAAACTGTCAAATTCTTTTGTCATCGTTAAATTCATATTTGTTATAAACACTTTGAGGAATGAAATTATTAAATGTGTAGAATGTTGTAAAATGAAAAAGATTCAACTATCATCTTATATGAGAAGGTCCACATTTTACACGTAGACCTTAAGAGTACGATAATGCAATTTATCTATATTACACATGCATATAATTTTTATTATCATTAACTTTCAAAATAAAGAAACATCTAATAACTAAGTATGACTAAAACATATTTATATGTCAAAATAGGATTTTCAGAATTTTTATACAAAAATAAAACTTCAATTATTGCCAATTAACACAATACCAAAATGTGACATTTCGGAGTGACAACAATCTTATTTAAAAAGTAAAAATGTATAATATTTTATTCAAATATAAGTTTCATATTTAAGTTTTATTTCGGTAAGCATACTTTACTTAAGTTTTAAATTTTGTATATAAACTTACAAACATCAAGAAATATTTATAATAGGATTTTGTTGAAGATTGAAAATTATGAACCTAATTTAATTACTCTTTAGAAATAATATTTATATACTCCGTATTTTATTTTTACATAGTTTCAATGTTTGGCATTTTGTTGTGTTATATACTCCATAAGCTAGAGCTTTTGGTTGAATTGGTTTCTTGACATGGTATCAGAGCCTGATTGATTAAGAGGTCATTTTGGTTGAATTAGTTTCTTCACATGTTGCATATGAATTTTGTTATGTACTCCGTATAATCTCAAGTTTGTAAAACACCACATATGAACAAACTTTTCCTATGTATTTTTAGCTATCTAGTTTTTTATTTTTGTTTATTCAAATGCACTTCATTTTTTTCAAAACATATACTCCGTACTATGGTAACAAGTTTCATTACATTTTTAAATGTAAAATATATACTCCGTACATACTTATCCGCCCAAATTGTACCGATCGAAACCGTTACATCGGTAACCGTTACAGTTACCAACTTCTATTTATAAATACGGAAGAGTTCCCATAACATTAGAACCTCATGTCATTGGGTGACCCAAATCCGCTATTATGTTCAGTTCGTAAAATTTACGATTTCTATCCCTCAAATCCCCTGATAAATTAAACCCTCCACCCCGATCCGAACACACATTCTCACCCCTTCAACTACACCCCCCAAATTAATTTTAACTTTGGATACAATCAAAATTAATTGGGGGTGCAATTGAAGGGGTGAGAAGGTGTGGCCGGGGCAGAGGGGTTACCGAGGAGTTAGGAGGGATAAAAAGGAAACGTCAATTTTTGAATGAAGCACTATAGTTGGCCCGAGTCATCTCATGACATGATGTTTTAATGTCATGAAAACCCTTCCCGTATAAATATCAATATTAATGGTCGAAATGCTATGTTGAAATCATAAAAAGTCAAATAAAAAAAATTCAGAGTATATCAAAAGATACAACTATAGAGTACTAAATAAGTGAATCTTTTCTACTAGGGATAGTTTGGTATGTATTGGTAAAATCAATATTTCTTTGTATGGTATGTGGGTTCTTAAGTTGGAATTCACTTAATGAACTTTAGTATAATTAAGCCTATTGCAAAAAATTTTTACTTGTCAGTCAATGAAAAGTGTAAAAAGATTTTCTTCACATGTGAATTTTAGAATCACGGAAGAGCAACGCCTGCACCATTTCAATATTTTAGCCCTTAGTCAAGCGCAATATTTGACACATCTTTTATTGAAAAGGAGTTCTCTAAAAAATGATTGGCCAAACAACTATAACAAAGTATTTGGTGAGCAACTTTTTAATCAATTTTTTTGTACTAAAAAGTTGAACTTGTGAAGATAATGACCTGGTAAGTGAAACAGTCAAACAACTACTAAATGTGTTTGGTGAGTAGCAATTTAAAAGTTATATATTTAACTATTGAATTGAACTCCTGAAGATAATGACATGGTAAGTGAAACAGTCAAACAACTACGGAGTACAAGAAGTGTTCCATGAGTAGCAATTTAGAATTACTATGTTTTAACAATTAAAACCTCAACTAATTGATACAAATTTCCCATTGTCCTAAAGAGTTTTGTTCTTAAACTATACAAACACAACAATGTGTTTTGTCCTTTTTGGGTGTCCAGACAGAAATTTAGTTATGGATCTCTTTAACATGGAGAGAGGGAAAGATAGGCAATAATCAATAATAATCTTGGCTAGCAAGATATTTGGGACTTAAATGGGTTTCAACCATCGAATTTTAGATCATTGGCTTGCACTTACTAATACTCCCTCCGTCCCCAAAACAAAGGTTACGTTTCATTCTTTTACGTATTCCAAAAAACACTTCTATATAGTCTCAAACGCCAAAAAAACTTTCAAAACAACTTCTACTTACAATAAAGGGCAAATGTGGTAATTTTTAAACATTTTAGATGTGGGATGCACAAAAAAATAAAACCTAACTTGTTTTTTGGGAAGGGGGGAGTATATGATATGTTTAAAACTTTAATACATGTTTTTAACATTTCACACCCTTGAAAAAAAATCATAATTCTAGGCTTATATATGCATAGTTCGTCTATTTCTAGAGACCAGTGTGTGCAAACAAATATCAAAGTAATTTTGTGGGAAAGAGTGAGTGGTAACTCAGTGATTTATTTACTCCCTCTAAAAAAATGCTTTTGTTTGGGTTTAACAAAAAATATAAAAAAAAAGAATTACGGAGTATATAGTTGAAAATGATGCAAAAACAATTTTTTTAGAAATGGAAACATGAGTTTTTTCGGTATTTACTACTCCCTACGAGTTGCTGCATAATATGAGCAAATCAATTACAGAGTACTCATTTGAGTTCTCTTAAAAAATCACTTATAAATGTAAAGTGGGACGGAGGGAGTACTATGTATTATACAATACGGCATCAGAAAAAATAATACAGAGTAGTGCAGACAGACAGACAAAAAAATGAAAAAAGAAAATAAGTGGGACGGAGAGAATGCTACGTATTGTAAATCTCGTAATTTAAGAAATTTCTACTAAAATGTTACTTGAAACTAATGCAATTAGTAGGTAATGGATACAAAAGTAACCATCTCCACAAGAAGTGATTAAATATGTAACCAAATAAAAAAATACAAAAACATAGTTCATGAGATCTTTACTAGGTTGTTGCTAATATAAAAACAATAATAGAAAGAAAAATGTCAAATTGTGTGTTGGGACTTGGGAATGGGAGAAAGACAGACAAACCAGATGTGAAAGATGAAAACAAGCTTTTAGCTAGACCAGACATGGACCAGCCCGAGCTCGTTCCCGGTATAGATCTCATTCCTTTCTTCGTCGTAAGAGAGGGCAGTGATGTCAAGAAGAGCTTCGGATACACTGCTCGTAATTTGCGACGTTTGGGCACCTTTGGACTTGCAACTTCTTGGACCACAACCAGCACCGCAATGGCAATCGCTCTGGGGACTGCCATTGGTTGCTTTTACTTTAGCAAGGCATCTTCCTGTCAAAATGTTGCTGATGCTGATAGAAGCAGCTGCTCAACAAGGGAGAAAAATGAAACTATGTTAGATATTTAATCTTAGCAGCAAGTAGTAATCAAGTAAGAGATAAGCATAATCCAGAAAAAAAAATTGTTGTCATATGCTTGGTGATAACTGTCATATTTGGCAAATTACATACAACGTTAGCTCGGCTTTATGAAACTGATACTCTTTTATTTATTTATTTATTTTGTGAATGATTTGAAACATGACTCTTTTAAGGACAAAAGGAATAAATGATTATATTTAAGAGAAGAGTGATGTCTGTACGTAGAACATTCTAATTAAAGAAACAAAAAAGTTGAAACGAATTCAAGAAACGAATTACTAAAATTTCAAAAATAGAGGGACTCAAATATGAGTTTGGAAGAGTCCATAGCACATCCACCTTCCCTCTAATTATCCCAGCCAAACACACACCACTCCCAAACTTTCTCCCACTCTCCTCTAAAGCCAATCTAACCAAACAAGGGTTTAAATTGCATGCAAATAATCAGCCAGTAATTCAAGATCTTACATGGTGTGTCAGATAGAGGGTCATCAGAACCAGCTTTGCAGTAGGATATGATTAGGTCCTGAAATCTATTAATGTAGATGTTGTTAGTATTACAGTCAGGGTGCCATAAAATGAGATCCTTGAATGATGTCACAAGCTCCCCACGGAAGTTCCAAACACCAACTTCCCTATTTCTGAATGTCAAGAACAGCTGGTTCTCGTACAGAAATATGAAAGCTGATGGTGTAATGAACTGAGTACTACTGACCTCAGTCAGCTCAGAATTGCGAACCTGAATCAAATAAAAGAATGAGTTAATGCAATGATTTAGTACCTCAATTTTAGACTGTTTTTTAAGTTTTCACCTTTCTATTGTACTCAGTGTGGGCCTCAACTACGTAGATGTTATTTGGACCAAATCTAGTTTTCGTATGTGTTTGGTTCCCAATATGAAGGTTATTCTTGTTCGTTCATGAAAGGGTTGATCCAATTTGGGATTCAACTATATAACTTGATCCCAAATCCCAATTTAGTCCTCATACACATTTGGTTCCCAATAAGAAGGGTATTTGGTCAATCCACTAAATTTAGAATTCTAGACCCCATTTTGGACTCCATTTGGCCCTCGACATTGCTATTTCTCCTAATTTGGTCTCAATTTAGTCCATTGCATATAAAAATACCCTTCTTAATTGGAGTAAAATATTGCTAGGGACTAAATTGAGAATCTATATTGCATAGCCGGGGATCAAATTGACTCCAAAAGAAAGTCTGTGTTTGTATCTCTAAACTAATTACTAGTATTTTGCTATATAGGGTGATAAGAGAGGGAAGAGTGGAAGGGCACAACAGTAAATCACTCACATCAAGAATCTGAAGATTCTCATTCTCTTGTTTGATGAGTAGCTTTTCATTGAATTGTTCAATGAATTCAATCTTCTTATTACGGTTCAGAAGATGGTTGAAGGATTTTAATATGGTCCCATCCTCGATGGAGATAATCTTTAGAGGAACAAAGAAACTATCTCTGGTATATATTAACAGCATGATTCCTGGACTATATGGTTCAAAAGCAAAGATGTGAAGATGAAGTTAGAAAAACACAACAGGATTTGGCTAGTGAAGAAACATGTTATTCAAAAAGCTATAAACCAACAAAACAGACCAGAAATTTGTTCACCAACATATACTTAACAATGATGAATGTGTAACAGCTAAAACTGGTTTCCAATCAAAAGACATAGATCTACACTTAATTCACACTCCAAGTTGGGAAACATTTCTTATCAAAAAAAGACTACTCCCTCCGTTCTCAAAAAGGGTTCCTATTTTGACCAAGTGTAAAAATAAGAAAGTGTAATTTTGTAGTTGACTTCCAATTTTGCCCTTGATGTGATGGGTAAAAGTAAGATGTGATGAATAGATTATAAGAGAAGAAGTATGATGTGATAGGTGGGGTATGAAAAAGTAAGGGTAAAAATGGTTTTTTAATAGAAAGTGGAAGTATTTTGTTGGAAGTGAAAAAATGAAAGAGGAAGTGTTTTTGATAACGGAGGGAGTAGTTAATTTTTATGAAAAATAGCTTCTTTTGTTCAAAAGAGACTCTTTTTGGAACGTCACCACCGTCATAATACAGTACATCAGGAACAAAGGGGAAAATTTATGTGTCCAACTCATACATGATTTTAAAAAAAAAGGCACAATAGCTTTTACTAAAGCATGCAAATACATACAATGCTTGAAAAGCTGCAAGTGAACTTACCTGATTTTAATTTCTTCAACATTTTTATCCGATATAGAGTATAACAATGTGTAATTCTTCAGGTCAAATACCTTGTATATACTGATGAAATAGAAAAATTGTAAAATTGTAAAATTACATTTACACACAAAAATAAATACCGAGTAGAAGATAATGTGGGATATCTAAATGAGCATATACCTGTCCTGGGCAGAGTAAGTGAGCACTTTCCCGTTTACATCATCAAACTCTACAAATCCAGGCCATTTTAATGACTCTGACTCAAACAAAGCAAAACCAGCATCTGGTGTACCTCTTCTAATGAACCTTACAATATCAAGTATGCAGCATATTAGTAAAAAGAAATATATAATAAACATATGATACGGATAAGAGCACGTTTGGCATCATTAATCAATCAGCTTATTCTGATTATCAGCAGAATAAATAGCCTTTGATTACTTATTGGTCTATTTGGCTGAAATCAATTTTACCAAATACCATTCCAAACCATTTGAACCAAATAAACCTTACCAAACATGCCCTACGTAAAGGTAAAATGGGAGAAAATAGTTGCCTACTCAATCCCAGTGGTCCGGCACTTCAAAGAGCTAAAATTGTCTGAAGAGTGAACGGAAACAGTGATTATCGAATCATTGTTTCTATTGTAGAACAGACTCCGTATCACTTCATCTGGGCTGACATTCAGAAAACATATTTTCTTGTTGGTCTCTGTGTCAACAGTATAAACAAATGATATGAGTCCCCCACTAGTTGCTACAATGTTAAGATTTGAGAAAATGTATACACCTAAATAAATTAAGAGTGAGTTGGGAATGCTAAAAATACAATGGAAAGAAATATAGGGAGAAAGACAGAGAATATGGAAGGAAAGAAAATGTAGGAGAAACAAATAATATACAGAGTATGAAAGAGGTTAAAACTCATTAATTAGTTTCATATATTTGTTCAAACCTTTTTCATATAAAAATACAAGGGTTTGCCTGCAGTCTGGTGCATAAAGCATCTCAGTTGTGCTAGGGTCTAAGGAAGGGCCCCACCATAATAGCATGATGCAGGCAAACCTTACCTTGCAAAAGATTGCTTTGAATGCTCGAACCCGTGACTTCAAGATCACACAACACCTCAACTCGAACGCCAAGGCTTCCCTTGCATTTTTAGTTGGATATCTATATTGTATACTAAAGACTAAGAAATCTAAATATAAATATTCATATTTGATTTCCCTTCATATTTTAAAATGTAAAAAAATATGACAAAATAATTTCCTAGTGACTGAAAAGGATGAATTAAACTCATAAAATATTCAATAACCTCTGCTAAATGCTGCACAGAGACCAGATTGAGCAAGAGCAAAGACAATATCACGTGCTGCGATTATCTCACTAATCTTAGACCTGTTCCTCAAAAATGGAAGTGCATCCGGACTATATCCTTTTGGATCGTGAGTATCATATTCCTCCTGAAACCATAATGAAGTAAACTATCACATAGAAGGATATATCGAGGCACTGAACCCGCCCTTTCAATCACAGCAACTATGAAAAACAAAACAGAACAAAATAAGGCCCATCGACACAGCAGTAAACTTACTGATTCTAATAGAATTAGTACTTCAAACTGTGTAACTATGATATACTCCGTAATAATCTAAAAGCCTCTTAGAATTGGCTATATCCAAAGAGGCACAGAAAGAAAAAAGAACGATGTTTTAAAATCAATTTACCCAGTATCTAGCACAGCCAAATCTGGACTATCATACTTGAGACATAATCATGCTCATAACAGATTCAAAATGAGAATGAATGTCAAATAAAATCAATCTGAAAAAGTTAATAAAAAAACGATCCAACACACCTGTAATCGGATGTTTCGAAATCTCTCTTGTGAATTTCTCATAGATAAAGCCCGGTTAGGCTTCGAAGAGATCTCCCTCCTCTGAAGCTTCTTGACGCAATTGACGGACCCATTTATGCCACTGCGCGGTTGCCTCTTAGCCACCACTCGCCGGCCGCAGCACGGCCTTGGACTCGCCGATACTCTCTTCCCGTCCATCACCCCCAATCCGCCGCAGCGGCACGCCAAACGCTGCAGAAACACTCACAAGCTCCGAAACAACATTCCCCGGTTTCGGAAGAAAAATAGCGGATTCCCGCCTTTGAACAATCTGGACAAACCCTAGATCTCCGGACGTAGATATACGGGAAATTCAGGGCATTCCAGTCCCCTAATTTGAAATTGAAAAAAACAACAAATCCACCGGAAGGAGGGAAACTGAGAGAAGACGGGTGGGCGGCGAGAAAAGGCCGCCGCGGGAGGGATTTTAATTTCTTCCAAATTGTTTCTTTAAAAAATGTTTGGAGTCTCATTTAAATTTTTGTCCAATTTGATTTTCTCGATTTAAATCAGATAAATTTTAATAAATAATTGTGTTAAATTTGAATGAATTTTGCATTAATATAATAAGAGAGCGGTTTACATGACATTGTTTAGCAATGTCATGAATGTCCTGGAAGCCGTACGATGCTCTGTTCGTAAAACTTTCAATTCATACGTCTCCTAACTCCCAGGGAAACCCCTACCCTGCCTTGAACCCATCGTCCCACCCCTTCATTTGCTTTCATAAGTTTAATTGACTTAGAAGTCAAAATTTTAACTCCAAAGTCAATTAAACTTAGAAGATGCAATTGAAGAGGGTGAGGCGGTGGTTCACAGTGGGAAGGGGTGGGGGTTTACCTGGAGGGTTAAGAAGGATAGGATCCGTCAATTCTATGAACAGAACATCATACGGCCTTCAGAATGTATAAGATGGGTATAAAAAACATCAATTCATACATTGATCTTTTAAAATAATGTGAAACATACTCCCCTTGTCCCATTTTAAATTATTTGTTTTCCTTTTTTCTCCATCCCAAAATAAGTTGCATGTTTCTTGTTATCGTAAGCTTTTAAGAGTAAAATACCTAAACTACTTCTAAAATAAGTCACTCTTCTTCACCTTATCTTCTCATTCATCGCCACCCATCCTAATAAGTAATGACAATTTCAGAAAGTCAACTCTATTTCTTCTCTTCTTTAAATATGCCCCAAAGTCAAAATGGACAATTTAAAACGGGACAGAAAGAGTAATATTTTACTTTCAAAACATAGCATCCAACATAATTACACCACTCAATACATTAGAAAATGTATAAGGAATGTATCCTTAAGACGAGTAATAATGTTCAAATAGGGTAAACATTTTTTAGTTTACACCTAGCATTACTCAATCATAAAAGTATAATGCAACCCAATATTTATTTTTTTATACGAGTGATATATTCAAAAATCTCGATATTTTTATTATCCTTTTAAAAATATTAGCCAATAGGCAATAATATTTACGAGTATTTGTGTAGAATTAAAGTAACAATATAAACTCCTTCAGTAAAAAAGGAACAAGAATAACTCGATACTTAGGTTTTTCGACTTATCTATATCAATATAAAACATGCTCGAATTGTAAGAAAGAATATACATTTATAACCACCAAATCATTTTTTCTTAATTACATCAAATTAAAAAAAAACCAATGATACTATTTACAAATGAAGAGAAGACAGACAAGGGTGTTGGGACTAATCACCTAGAGGAAAAATACTTACTTTAACCTCAAAGAAGACACCATGGTTGACATTATTAGAGACAATCACAAGAAGATAATTATTCTACTTCGTACGTGAAATACTATGCGATGTCATTCTAGGTGTCATCCGTAGTGTGACTGTAGCGCGACACCATCTATTTGGGCAGCTCTAATGTCCATTTTTGGGCTGCCCCTATTTTTATCGTCTGTTTTTTCAGAAAGGAAACGTACTCCTGCTGCACCATCACGCCTCCGTTGACAGGGTCGAAACTGCACTTGTAGAAACTAGAGATGAAATAGGAAAAAAAAAGTGATCAGAAAACAAAAAATAAACATACATTCATGTTTTGCATGTTATGTTTGCAGTTTTTGGCTTTTGTTTTTTTTCTCTCCAATAGTTTTAAGTGTAAAATATGTCGGGTTGGTCTGTTTTGAACTTTTTTAGTCAAACTGGACATCGATCATCAAACAAGTTCCTACCCCCTACCCCCACCCCCACCCCCTAATAAAATGTGTTCTTTTAAGAAACTGCTAGCAAAAAATGACACTACAGAAAAGTAACCTCTTACCTCCCATCCATGCCAGCAGCAATAACAGTGTTTCCAGTACCAAATGCAGCAATGAATTGGGTACACTCCGGCAAGTGAAACCGGGCAAATGACCATTCCGAGCTAAAGTACTTAGGTAAAAACCCTGTTGAGTGAGAAGAGAGAATAGGTTTTCAAAAAAAAAAAAGTTGCTAAAAGAAAAAGTAGTGTCGAATTCATAGCTAGAAAATTTAGAATTTCCTCACGGACATTGCGGTTTTGACATCACGGGACACAAATACACAATAGACTACTTGTCATCACACTCCAAGTGATATGGCCAAGAAACCAACAATGAGTCAGAACCCCCACCCCAAAATTGACCTTGAACTCTTCAAATGCCACATTTTGCTCCTAAGTTACCTCATTAATGATATTGAACATTTAAAAAATGATTTTCTGACATCCCACATATACATATGCCACAAACATGATTAGGTACATGAAGAAAGCTCTACTTAAAAAGAAAGCACACACCTTATAAACCCAAAAAAACTTGGCCTGAATTGGATCAATAGTTTGAATTAATGACATGTATTTTTTGTTGCAAATTGTTTTTCCATTGCTTGTATCTTTCTTCACATATCTAAATGTGAGTGTGTGTGAGTGTGTGTGTGTGTGTGTGTGTTTGAGGCATCTACATATATGGCATGTCAAAAATTGAAAGGACTTCTTTCGAGCCTTTGTTTGTTTACGTCAAATAAGAGAGAAACGAAGTTTGTTTTTGTATTTGGGAAAAAGAGAAATGGGGAGATAAATGAAATGGTGGGCCCCATCTCCCTTTTATTTCTTCTGCCACATGGAGGTAAATTTGCTAAAATATGTATTTTTCTCACTTGGTCTACCCATTACTTTACCATAATCTGCCATATTTTCCTCTAAACCAAACAAAGGCTGAAGGTACAAAGTAATTAATGTGTATAAGTTCCTGGGAGGTCTCTATACTATACCTACTAATCCTACTATTCAGTTTAGTCCCTGTACTAAACATTACATCAATTTAGTATTTTTCTTTAAATACATCACTCTGTCAAACTATGGTGTATCAATCCTTTTACAATGGATAAAGTTCAATTTTATCGTTGAACAAAAATATTTAATTCAGTCATAATACATAGTATGCTAAAATAATCAATTTAGTCAATGTCTTAGTTATCTTTGAAAGAAGATTTAGCAAATTAGTGTCTATTACTCTATTTTGCTAAGAAAAAACAATCTTTTTGGCCCTGAAATATAAAGCTAAAAATATTAGCATTTAATTATAAAGCTTACAATAAAATTTAAATAATAAATTAAACATGTAATTTCATTAAATTAATAAATCATTTTTTAAAAATGTTCCATATTCTTCTATGTTTTGATGCATTCTGTCATCATCGGTGCCACTGTCTCAAATTATTCAAGATCATGGATGCACCTATTATATTGTTGCAATATTCAATAGAGGGGCTGAAGTGAATGTTTATACACATGACAAAGACCAAATTGAATATGTATCTAGTATAGGACTAAATTGTGCATATAACCGCAAAATTAGACGGTGGGACCTATTTGAACAAAATATAAAGTACATGGACTAAATTGATGCAATTTTGGCTAGAACTGTAATGAATATTTTGTTTAGTATGGAGACTTCCTAGGTACTTTTACCAGAATTAATGAGAAAAGTTAATCAGTTTAGCAGCCAAAAGAAACTGTTGAAGAGCTTATGTTCAATTAGGATTTTTTGTTGACATCCAAACACAGAATAGATTCTCACCTTTCATGAAAGACAATGATGAGCCAGGGTTGATGCCTGTGCTTGGGGAAATAAGAGCATCAAGAGAAGTTGATGAATGTTGTTGGTATAATAGGGCTTGATTTCCAAAAGCAGCATTGCTACAATTGGTATCAGTTGCAACATCCTCCCCGACAATTCGCACCCTTAGGCTGTATACATGAATAGTACCTTTGTCACTAGACACGGCTAACCATTGAACATTTGGTGATAGTGCTATACTGTAAATATCTGCTTTGTCTACACCTCTTCGTACCTATCAGGAAATGGAAGTTCTAGAGTCAGCATAATGCAAGAACATAACCACAATAACTTGTTAAGACTCAAGAAAAAGCTTGCTTACAATATACAGCCCAAAACCCTATATGTCGGGTTGAATTTTTATATTTTATCATTATATGTTGGTTAGCTTGATATGCCTCGCAAGATTGTAGCTTGTCGGACAACATAAGACCATAATATTGGTTGCATACTGCAGTTTTATATTTTATGAGATGACTTATAAATG